CCACGGAGGCCAATTGGTCCTTTCTTTTTTTCCAAAGGGGGGCTAAAGGGGGGGGGGGCAGGTTGGGTTTAAGAAAATGGGGGTTGGTTTTAAGAGAGGGGTGTGTCAAGTTTTTTGCCCTTTTTAAACCCGGAAATTTTTTAAAAGGGAGTTTTTTAAAACCGTAGCCCCCACTGAAAGGGTTCTGGAACCAACAGTGGGGTTCTGGCCCCCTATCCAAGAGGTACGGTTTCTCCAACACAAGGGTTCTGGAGTCCCAACCCAAAAGGGGTTTTTTCTTTTTCCGAGGGAGGTGGATTTGGTAGTGGGGGGTTTCGAAACAGAAATGGGGGGGGGGGGGGGGGGGGCACAGCAGTATCACACGCACTTGTGGAGGTAGGTGTCATCCCTCTGCAGGGCCATGGCGTGGCCGGTGAAAGACTGGGTGTTCTCGTCCAGCCCGAAGTCTTCGTAGAGCTGGAGCATCGTCATCCGCCTCAGATCCCGACCTGGACGGGGCCACCAAGGGCAAAGCAGCACTCACGTACGTCAAGGGAAGAGGGGTACCAGACCACATCTACGACATCTACAAGTGGCGCGAGAAAAAAAAAAAATGAGGAGACACGAAATCAACAGCAGTAGTTTGTTACTGGTTGGAGTTTTGCTCAATGGTCGATTTCGAGGTACAGCAGCAATGGGTGAAGGCCCGGAAGGCCCCGAAACAACAAGGATCACGACACACAATTTGGGCGAAAAGAGGACAAAAGGACAGCGCCTTCGGGCACACGGCTTCTTCGTTACGCCTCGTGCCATGCGCCTCTTGTGCGATCCGTGACCCGTGCAAGAACGCCCTCGTCGCTACATACCACCACGCTACACCACAGAGCAACCATGCTCGTGCCCATTGCCATGCCCCAAACTGCTGCTATCCATATCAGTTGCACACAAGTACGATCTCTGCCCCGTGTACCATGAAACCAAGGTGTACCACCGACCCCACGCTATCAGTTACCGCAATAGCACGAGTCATCGCGCACCCCCTAGCCTGACTTTCAAAACTCCATTGCTCTACAACCTATTGCAGAGGCTGCCTGTGCCGACACGGTGTTTGGTGTTGTAAATATCTCTTGGACATCTCACATGCGTATGGGAACACCCGCCACTGTATGTATGGTAAATTGCCAGCGATAAGGCCAGCAAGACCTGATGGAGGAATATGGCATTGACATGATGGAGGACGCCATGGACGAATACTGGTCACGCTACTCCTACTACTAGATCGAAGATCGCCACGATGGGGCACCTACCTTTGAAGGTGTCGGGCTGCTGCTCGTCGTAGCCCGCGAGGTACTGGAGGAAGTTGCGGAAGCGCCTCTTCTCGAAGATGCCCATCAATGAAGTGCGCAAGGCCTCGTCAGGCGTCGCCGGCACCTGGCGGTAGTTTCGAGAGTATTCCAGAAAACAAAAACACAACCGCAAAAGCAAGACCCGGGAAGAAGCAAGTCAGAGGAATGGGGACACAGCAAACCTACACCTCTATTGGTTCATTTTTTTTCGTTCGTACACGAAAACACCGGACACGGTCTACGTACCGATGGAGAGGTGGCGAGTCGTTCCGACTTGCTCCGTTAGGCTCCTGACAGAGTTTTAGTCTGACATTGCGTCTGCCCGACACGTTGCTTGCTTGTCGTTGATCTTCCTGTGGTCAGACCAAACAGGTCCCCGATCTCTGCTGAGTGCCTTCAAACAACGTGTGCTGGCCCAACTGATTCAGATCCCTTGCGATGTCACAGGCTGACAACATCACCAGCCACAGAGAGGCACTACAGGACCCGGCAAAATCAACACAACCGCGACAGCACAGTCAACGCCGGGTACGGCCTCCAACGTTCGAATAGCATGAACATGAGAAGGAATGCTTCATGCGGGAAATAGTAGATCACGCCGCTGTTATGGTTCGTTACTCCCGACTGTCTCGCCTTGTTGATCTTGCCCCCCTTCACCACGTAGCTGCCGTCCACCGTCTTGAACTCCAGGTAGCGGGTCACCTTCCAAGATCAACAGCCGAACTCAAGGGGTTGCGTCGTGGCCATAACCTAGCGACTAGCTTGGGGGGTGATCTACAAAGTGCGTATATCGATTGTAGTGTCACAAAACGCGCCAGACAACGTGACTGTAAACCCTGGAATTAAACGAGAATTCCGGGGGTAACTTCCCCAGTGGTCCGCATGTTTCGCGGAACAACACCAACATTTGGTCATCATCACGATCGATCCGGAACATGGGGCGGCGACAATACAATCGGAAGTTACTTGTTGTAATGCGGCCGCAGGGCAAGAGACGCAAGCCATTCCCAAGGAACAAGCGTGGCGACGACCGCGTGTGTATCAGTGATGCTCGCCACGCGTCAAAGCACTAGCACGAATCCGACCACCAGGAACAATACACAGGGTGGGATCAGCAAAGACATTTCCTCCAAGAACCTCACCCACAAAGTTGGACAAGAGACCTCCTACCTGTAGGATTCACAGCACAGAAACAGCCGGTGAATACTGCAAGCCGGTATGTATGCATACCTTGGTCATTAGCAGCATCTTGACAAGGTTCCCGTTGGCCATTAGGAACTTGGGGATGAGGTCGACGTTGTAGTCTCGTGTGGGGTGTCCGAGCTCCGGGGCCGGCGGCTGCCCGGGCCTAAACTTGTTGTACAGGTTCGTGAGGTTCAGCGACGCGCACTCTCCGCCGTAGTAGTTGTTGCGGTCCACGTGCAGGACCTACCGAATCGCAATCGAGAAATCAATGGACATAGAGCGGCATTGTCGCAGGGTGGATCGGCAGCAGCACGACAGCAGAGGAAAGTGTTTTCGGAAAAAATCGCAGCAGCAGGTGGCCCCCGCACACGTTCGAGAGAAGGTTTTCAACGCGAACAAGATGGGGCTCCTCATTTTCGTGCATGATATCACACCGTAGGTGTGCCGTAATATATCACGCCCCTTTTGACCCTTTTTGAAAGCTCGATTGCTCCCCAGCAGAGAGAGAGGCGGTGCCGAAAATGTGGGCGTTGGAGTCGTCTCGTGGAGAGGTTTTCCGACAACGCATCATATGATTTCGGCACCCTCTTCGTCGTGGAGTAATCGAGCTTTGAAAATCGGCCCCGGGGTGTGGTATCTTGAGTCGTCAACGGTAGCTGAGTCCCTATAATAGATCCTAGCATCCCTGTGGCATACATCGCCGAGGCGGCACCTCGGCTCGTCTAATGCTCTCTCAAACGAGGCACTATCAAATGCACAGGGTGATCGCCGGTATGTCTGTGTGAAGATTATTGCAGCCTTCAAGTACCCAAAACTAGAATGGACTAGCACGGCAAATAGGATCCGGTTGCACAGAAACAATAGCAACTGCTGTGCTTGGATTCGCAAAAGGTCGGTCGATCGGACGTGCCTTCTACTCAACCAAAGGGCAAACACGCTGATCGTGAGCTGCTCTGCTAAGCAAAAAGAGAGAAAAAAAGCTCGAATCCTTTGCTGCACTACTGCTCGACAGAAATGATCGCCGTACATACCTTCATTCCCAGAGTTGACAGGAGTCCCGACATGATAGCCTCCTTGAGTCCCGTCCCCATGACGATAGCGTCGTACTCTCCATCTGCAAGCATCTCGCATCCGTCCGGCAGCCAGTCGGGCCTAGGCGCCGGCACCTCGCCTCCATCGCCACCCTGCACGTACATCATGCCCATGGTGCACGTGGGATCAGCATGAGGAAAGACAAACGCACCATGAGGGCCACCCATAGCATATGAATCCCCAAAGCCCCGCATCTGCGACGCTGCATGTACGTGAAAGACCGACAAAGGTACGCAGCCATAAAACTGGGTGTAGCGTTAGCGGCGTGATAAATATCGCACCTACGGCGGACGGGCGATCGGCGGGGGCGGTGCCATCTAACAATCACCCACAAGAAGCGTTTTTCTTTTGCTGGAGGTGTTTGGTGATGCTGGTGACATTCGTCACAACAACAGCGAGTAGTTGGTAAGGGATCGAGAGCCGACACCTTGGCTCCCCCTCCGGTCTGTATCCTCTCCACGATGGGACCAAGCAATCTACTCGCGGATATTTAGAGCCCTGAGCTAAGATCTGCGTTCTGCAAAGATGCGACCGTCGCCGTTTCTCCGCCCTCCCGCACGCACGGCACAAGCGCCGCCCTTAGGCACACACCAAAACAACGCTCCCGGCCGGTTTCGGGGAGTGGTTCTGGCGCATGAAGCAGGCCGTACGCTGCTGTGGGGAACGGCGCGTGGCTGAGTGATGCCGTTCGTAGAATTGATCTTCAGCAATCGCACGAAAGACAACGACAACCGCCAATTGCGACCTCACACAATTCCAAGTCGACACGACACGTTGTGCGTTGTGACGCGAGAATCCGTTCCCGCGTAATGACGAAGGCATTCCCGGGCTCACTGTATGTAGCAGGGGGAGGACGTATGCCTCTTACAAGTACGACACAATCCAGATACCCGCGCGGCAAGATAAAAAGGTTTGATGATAGTCTTAGTCTTCTCCCTTTCTTTGGGGTGCGAGTGCATCTCAACGGGGGGAGGGAGCTCAAAGCAGACAAAAGGACGCCACCGAGCAGCGGCTGTGTGCTACATCTTGCTCGGCACACTCTCCGCTTGATTCTGGTTCATGTGATGGAGCGCCTCTCTTGCAGGTGTACGCTGCTTTTGGAGTTGTACAACTCGTTGAATGTCGACTTCGGGCAACATCCGAATCATCCACGTACGCGAAACCCCGTCACTCCCAGCGTTTAAAAATCACTTGCAATCGCTGCAATCAACAAATGAGCTGGGCGTAGAGAAAGGACCAGTCAACACAAAACCGACCGGTGCGTTCATGTGGCCAAACAACAGACACACGACACACGCGCAAATGCGCAAACCGCCAACATGCGCAATTACTATTTACAGCTGTGTTGCCGTCGTCTTCACCTCAAAAACAGTTGCGGTGTCTGCTAAGAGCTAACAGTACCACATCTCTTACCCTTCGTATTCTATCGCGGTCCAATTGACGCCAACGAGCCCCGAGAACGGTTGCAAAAATTGTGAGGAAATTAGATACAGGGACCCAGAAAAACCACCACAAACGCGATACAAAGCAGAACATAAAACCGAAGAGAAAAGGACCCAGTAAGTGGTGTTATTAGCGGATGTGAATCCAGTATCCATTCCTGTAAACAATGGCGCAACTAGGCATATACGAAATGCATTTTTAGCTACATACGTTGTACAACGGTTTGCTCCAAGAACGTTTGAAATACCGAGAGGCGAAAGATGACGAAAGACCCTCCGCGTGCGACGAAGGTTCGAGATTCGACTGGCAACACAACATTTACAGCAGGGGGTTGATGGCGTGGGGTTCGTCTACGAGAAGCCAGCAATACCCGTGCCACATCTTGAGCATGCCAAGCAGCAGCACCCGCGATCCTCACACCGAACAAAAAAACCGGGCCCATCGAGTCTACTTTACGCTTGTAAGGCGTGATAGGAAGACCCACCGCCGTCAGAGCGCATGAGAACAGCAGCAAGCAGCAAACCGAACGAACACAGCCAACAGTTCATCGCGTCTTTCGGTGCTGTTGCTGCGCGTACAGCCCCAAGCGCACGTGTTCCCGGCTAGCGTTGTTGGTTCTGCGTACGGCGTATGGACCTTGAGAGCCGTGTCTACATAAAATATCATGGCATGTGAGCATACATAGCATACGAGGCTGTGTCTCTCTTGACGTATGACAAGACATCATCATGACCAAGGGGCGGCTGGGCCTGCTGGTGTGCATACCATCGCCACCCTTAACTGCTGTAGGGATACATATAAAGTTCTGAGGGGAACGTCGTACGTAGCGTAGGTATTTCTCTCCATGCTCCCGCCTGTAGTCTCTCGTGCTGTAGGAGAGAAAAGCAAGCGCGGCGGTATCTCAAAGACTCTCGGAACAACTACGAGACTACTGCTGGAACAACACGTTACTACTACAGCAGTACGTGCCGTTCGCGTTTTTGTGAGCTCCAACGATGAGGTAGGCGGATGGACCAAAGCGAAAAGAGCAGGCTCCTTTCTTCTCTCCCAAAAAAAGAAGAGCGATGGGCAATAAGTGCATTAGACGTGGAGGAGGCGGAACAACACAAAAAGCTACTGCTACACACACACTATCTCTCTCTTGTACAGGTCACACACACAAGACTGCCTATGCTACATCCCAACGTATCTGCAGGAGAAGGGAGAGGTACAGAAAAGTGTCTCGGTTTGCTGTTGAAATACCGACCCTCGGATCGGATCAGACACCAAACTATCCTCCGCTTGTTGCTCACAACAACCAATAGGCACGTGGCGTTCCTACCTTTCCCTCGTGCTCGGCCATTACTCTCCCTTTCGCGCGAACTTCCGTCCTTTGTGTTTAGCAGTCTTGCTTGGCTTTGCTCGGCCCAAGCACGGCAACAAGGCGTGTGTCCTGTGCTCTGGCGGGTCCCCGCGAAATATATCTTTACAACGGCATATCTTTTGAGCTTACGGGTTTGAGAATATCCAGCTGCGGGTGCCCCTTGCTGATTGAGTTGAGGTGACAAGTAGGGTTATAGGTTATAGGAAAAGTTCAGTCTACACAGCAGGGTATCTACGAACGCCAGGCACACCTAGACAAGGAAGCACAGGCGCGAAGTTTCCCTGACTGCCCCCCGTGAGGCCCGCACATTGTTTCGCAGGGAATCTTGGAAGCTTGTTACAAGTGCCGCTTATTTTCTCTCCCCGCGGGCGGACGCCGCCGCCGCCGCCGCCGCCGCCTCTGTCGGGGCCGTGTCGTGTGCTCTCGACATATCATACAAGAAGATATTGGACGCAGCAGGCGATGCAAGGCAAGACCGGGTCAAGACCACGCGGCCCCTCCATCAGCGGCGAGAGCATGACGACACTGTTCACCGACGATCCATTGATGCACGGCCTGGCCCTGTTCGGGAATGGAGGCCAACTGGGGTTGTTGTCGCACACCCCGCCCAACTTCACCCCGGGTTCGTACGAGGTAAACAAAGGGAAACAGGCCAGGCAACAACAACAATCACCGAAGGATGCTAGTGATCTTGCTTTAGGGAGCGTGTGTGGCAGGCAAATCATGTGGATAGCGTGGATTTCTCAGATGGGCGTCGCGACCCTTGCCCCGTAGTCTCTCCAACGCCCCGGGTTCGTCGCAGCGTTGTCGGCGGCGTTGAAAAGTACCTCCATCAATCCTGCTGCTGTTGTTTTGGGGCCAGCAATGGGAGCAGCTGTGTTGTTTGCCACGGAAAACATTCCCAAAGATTTTTTTTTTCCCTGTTTTCTCTCACGCGCGCTTACGGCGTGGTGCGTCGAGCTCTCGGCCCGTGTCGGGCGAAGTCTCGCCATGTGTCGTGACGTGATACTGTTGTGTACACGGCTGCTGTCGGTGTGTGTTCTATGCACGCGAAAATCCATGGCAAGACGTGGTTATTTCCTGTTGGGGGATACGAAGCCGTCAATCTCCCAACCACGTAGAGCACGTTTTTTTCTCCAAAGGTTTGTCACCCTGCTGGTGAAGTTGTACTTGGTTTTGAGCGCCGTGGCGGCCTGGAAAATTGAGAATCTTCCATGCGGATTAAAATTCCCTGACAGCCAAGCCAAGCGCTGCCCGCGCCTTGTTACCCGTCACCAGCGGCGCGCCTCGCTTCGTCACTATCTCGCACCTTCTCTTTTCGCTCATCGGACGGAAAATTCAACGACGCGCACCTCCCGGCAACCTTTGTTCATGTATTGAGGCACATGTCGGTGATTTTCCTTTCTGCAAAGTATTATTTCCCCCCCCGCCGGGGTGAATACAACATCACCATTCAAACCAGAAAAAAATCTGCCCTATTTACTGCTGCTTCTGCTGCTGCTGCTGTGATGACTGACCGGCCCGCTCTAAGAGGCAATCTTGTTTGTGCTGCTGCTGACGAATGCTGTACCTCCCAACCCGCTCCGCTACTGCGAATATAGCCAGTGGCGTCCCCTGGCAAGCGTATTGTGGCACCGGCCAAAATCGCCGCTGGCTCAACCTGGCGCTCATTTCCGTCATGCTACTGCCGCTGCTGCTGCTGCTTGCTGTGTGTTGGACCACACGACGTTCAATTATTATCGAAACGACTAAAAAGCATGCACTGCTTGTACGTAATGATATCCAAAATGCTTGCCGCTGCAGGTATCGCACATGAAGCGGGCGCGCGCCGGGAGCATTTCCGGGCGGCTGCGCTCGGCGTCGGACCTGGAAGAAAAGGGCTTGATAGACAAGAGCCAGAAGGGGGTCCTCAAGGACCTCATAATCAGCGGCGACTCGCAGCTGCAAACAGCGCTTGACCTCTACGACAACGGGGATGCGTCCCAGCTCGAAGGTATGGGGACGATAAGTTTTTTTTTCGTTTCTTGCCGGGGTGGTCTTGGTGGTTGCACTTCTATGTAGACAGCGTACGGGGCACAGCTAGGTATGGAGGCGAGAACTTTTTTTTTTCGTTTCTTGCCGGGGTGCTCATGGTGGTTGTACTTCTAGTAGACATTGTACGGGGCACAGCAGGCGCAAGTCTTTTTTCAAGAAGATGGAAGTTGTAGTAGATTCGTGTGATTTCGTTGCATCAGTTCAGGCTGGTGTTTGCCGGGCGTGCGGCATCGTCGAAGGCGGAGAACGGGGACTGGTTGCTGTAGGGGTCGATTTTCCTCGGGGTCGGTGATTTCGTGTTACTGCGAACGGCCTAGAAGATCCTTGCTGCTCCCGACCAGCAGGGGGGGCGGGAAATGTTTGCCATGCTGCGCATCTGCCCATGTCCCAGAACCGAGTCACCTGCCTACTGCCGTGCTTGCTGTCGGATTTGATGTCGCGCCGTGAATCCACGTATCTGCCCAGATGACGGAGTGTCGGAAAGATTTACCTCCGAAAAGAGAACAATACTCATACAATTACAAGACATGCACAGCTCTGTCGTTGAAGGGACCTATGCCCTCCCTCTTGACAGCTTGAGAGACCACCCCCGAAGGCGGCCGCTGAGCTGAAATCCTTGGTGCTCTGTCCAACCCAATTTGAAAGCATTTTCACTTGTAGATACTGAAGTTCTTAGAACGGCGGTATATTAGGAGTATGTATGCCTACATGTCCGGACATGGCATGCGCACGTGCATATTAGGGGCGTTTCACAAGGCGGTATGGTACAGCTGGAGACACTCAGAGATGCGATGCACGCGGACGCGCTGCTGCAGGCTCTCTGATGGCGAATTTCGCGCATGCATACAACAACAACCGCCGGGGTTGGCTGTGGTCAGGTACCGTGCAGAAAAGGGCACACGGCGGTGGAAGTTTGAGTTTTTCAACCATGGTCGCGAAGCACCTGTTGGGGCCGTTTCGAGATGTCTTGCTGTTTCCGATTCGAGGCGAATGGAGACAACTGACGTTCATGATCAACGTACAAAAAGACCATGGCATCACGTCGTGTACTTTTTAATTTTTTCCGCTACTCGGAAGTGCAGTATGAAGCCAGAGCATCGGGTCCCCCAACACGACGTCTGTGTAGGATAGTTTAATTGTATTCGGTAGTTGAGGCGTTATCCCCGTACACCGCCCCGCAGGCAACGTGTCGCATTTCTCTGTTGTTTGACCGACTGTCCTTGTTCGGCCATGTGGTTGAAGTGACGTCTGTTACCGGTACTGCTCAGCTGGAGGATGTTGATGCCAACACTCACCACTACTCCCATGACTTGCGTTGAACATTCTACATACGCAGTTGATTTTTCCGTTGCTTGTTGATTATTTTGTACGTTCGCGGTGTCCAGGGGGCGTTTTGTTTAGTAGTGTTTTCTACTGCTGGTTGTTGTCGTTGCTTGCTCCAAGCGGTAGGTAGGGTCGTGCAGACCTTTGTGCAGATTGATGCAGCACCTATTCTACGTACGTGTTGGCCTGCATGGGGTACAGCAGTACTTCTTAGTTCTCTCCCCAGCCTACTCTGTCCGCACTATGACAGTCGTCGGCTATACATTCCCGGGGATGATGCGATTGCTTATCCCCGTCTCGGACCTTCCCGAACGTACACAACCTAGTTTAGTGATCGCCATCAGTATTCCTCGTGACTTTGTCACCATGGATGATTGTAGCAAGCGTTGCCGAGTTGGGGTCCTCCATCATACAACATATCATACAACACCGGCGTGTTTGAAGAGCGTTGGACGTGTTGGACGTGTTTGTTTTCTCTGTGGGGGGAATGATGATTTTTTTGCGGTGGGGTGCCGACCGGAAATCATCGGGTCAGCGTACCCGCGTGGTTTCCTGGCCAGACATTCGAGGGTGTGCAGTAATAGACGGTGGTATGCTTCCACTGACGTAAAGGTCAAGGCGGTTACGAGGTGTGCCCCCCCACCCTCATGTTTTTTCTGTTATTTTCTGAATAATGACCCACACATTCATCTCTGTTTATTTACACTTGTTTTTTTGTTTGCGACAACGACCGACGATGCGCTGCTGCTGTCCAACGTGCTAGTTTGGCATTCTGTATGCTACGATGAAAGTACTCGGAAACAGTGGTAGTGCCGCGTCTTGATCAGTGTTTTGTATCCGATACGCAACATACTCTACCAGATGTTGGCACAGCCTATACGTTTGCCCCCATATACTGCTACATCCGCTGCAACATGCAGACTACGGGTGGTTTTGGCCAGCTCATCGATGCCACGTGTCACACCATGCCGAATTTTCGCCCGTATCCTGGAGTCCTATGCTATGTAGGTGAAGGCAAGAAGCGAACTACTACAATATCACCGTCTCCAATTATGGAAGTATTGCCAGCACACCTATATTTCGCAACCAACAGCAGTAGAACTTGACCAAGAGGCGTGGGTCATTCTCTCATCACGCGCATTTGACCTAACCGTATGCGTACGCCCTCGTCTGTTGCGGATCAAATCATGCGCCCCGCCCCGACCCCCGTCTCCCGTAGCTCTAATGGAGAACGGCTTGCTCGACCGGCGGGAGTCCTTCGATCTCCTCGACAACCTCGACTTCGGGATCATGGAGCTGGGCATGTCCGATGAAGAGCCCTCTAGTCACAGCGGCGCCGAGAGCGCGGCGGTCGAGCCTGTGCCAGACGGCCCCGACGAACATGAAGCTCAAGCAGGCTCTAGCAAACCCACGGTGCCCCCGCCCCCCCTGCCAACCACCGCATCGGCCGCCACCGACAAGGCCGCCGTCATGACCGGCGTAAAAACGAGGGCGTTCCGAAATAGCGGGGCAAGCGAGGAGGGGGGGCCGGCGCCAGCGTCGTCTGTCGGCGGCGGGGAGAAGGTTTCGACGCAGGAAGGCGGTGATGGCGTTCAGGGCGGGGGGGTCGCGGTGAGAAGTATCGGCGGCGGCGGAGGGCCCGCCGGCGGCGGGAACGGAGCTCAGGACAGCGAGCACGAAGTTGACGTGAGGATCAATCGTTTTTGCTATTGGTTGGGTTGGGTGTTGTGAATTTGTCACCCAAAGATGGGTTAGACACCGGCAACACAGAAAGAGGCAGCCGCGGTTTCGAATGCGTCAGAGAAGCGGTTTGATACTGGTGTTCTTCTGTCCCTCTCCTTTTCCGCAGCGTGTCCGCCATGAGGGGAAACTATTTTCAGTCTTGCGGGTTATCCTCGCTGTAGATTACTGCTACTGTAGAAGATGAAACTTTTCTCGACTGGCTTACCATGCGGACCGCCTCGTCATAGTAGGTCGTACTGCTGTCGTGTGACGTTGTTGTCTTGTTGGTGGTGACGGCGATGCTGTGGTCGTACCGTCTTTTTTTTTCTTGGCCGGCAGTGAGGGCGGCTCCTGCGCGTGCCAAGCCACGCGAACTGCGGACAGTTCTTTGTCAACGATCTGTAGGCTGTGCCGCTCTCAAGCCGCCTGCCGCCGTTCTCAAGCGGTAGTCGTGTCTGAACCGCACGTCTCTGTCGGTGTGACCCCGCGGTGGAGCTCGCCACAAGTGGCACATGTAACGGCGAGCGGGGTCGCGCGTCCTTCTTGCAGCCGTGTGCTTGCCTCTTTGCCCGTCGCGTTCACCTTACCCTACCGCGTGCATTGCACGGGGGATGTGATCTGCATTGATTCGTAACTATTTCGTGTTGACGGTTGCCGATGGCCTCGTGAATTTGTCTGATTTTTTGTTGCGCCATGCAATGGATCTCGCGCTTCCATTTTTGTGGTCGTTGTTTGTGTTGCCTGTCTTTCAGTTGGCCGGCGAGGGTTCGGGTCAGTTCGACATCGGCGAAATGGCTTTCGACGCAACTTTCGATCACGACTACGGCGAACAGGAGGTGAGCGGAGACGGACGGTGTGCAAGACGGCGGTGTCACGAGGTGGTCGAACGCCAACGTCAACCCTTGAAGTCGCCGCTGTCGCATGTATTCCTGCACGCCAAAAATGGCAAGTGTATGGAGCGAACATAGTATTTTAGGCGCCACTGCACCTACAAATATGCCCACAGCATCGATCGATATGCGTGTTCAAATGCTGCTGTGTGCGTTATGTAACTGCTGCTCGACGATAGGACGACGACGTTGACATGAAGGACGGGAGCGGACAACTGCCCTCCTCCTCCTCGACCAGGGCAGCCGCCGCCGATGCCGCCGCCGCCGCGGCCGCAGTGAGCACGGCCGTGGGACCGCTCCGCGTGGTGGGCTCCACCTCCAAGACCAAGCTCTCGACGAGGGTGCCACCGAAGCTCATATCCTCACGAGGACCGCATCATCACGACGACGACGAGGATGATGACGACGATGACCGACGAACTGGGGGAGAGATAGACGTGGGCGACCAGCGCGGCGATGACGACCTTGGCGACGATGGCGACGATGACGACAGCGACGCCGAGCGTAGCGAGGGCGGCGGCGGGAGCCACGCGGGTTGTAGCCGTGAGACGGGGCCGGGAGTGGTCATGTCGGATGACGAGGGTGGCGGGCGGGAGGGGCATGGGGACGCAGACGCGCCGGGGCTCGGCAGCTTCAGCACGATGGGCGCCGTGATCGGGGACTTCAGCCCGCAGTTCAAGTTTTCCTTCACGGACGACATTCATCTCGACCTTGGCGGTGGACTGAAGGTAGGTGGGCGTGGACGTGGCTGTGGAACGCGGGCGTTCCGGCTGGCTGACTTGGGCGGTTCTGTTGTTGCCCTAATTTATGTTTTGGAACATTTTGGAGATGCCACTGGTACGGGGTTAAGTCGTTGGCCATCAGCGGAATGTACGGTGCACGGTACTCTTTTTGGTCCCCTTATTGGTGACCTTTATCTCTTTTTTGCATTCACTCCCACTCCTGCCCGCTCTCACACTCGTCTGTGTGTCCCTTCCGCGTGGCCCCCGAACCAACACCAAAACCAACTGCACTGCTGCCGACCGGCCTCAGGACGAGCTGCGAGACCTCGAGTCCTTCTCCGAGCACGGGCCGGACCCGCACGGCAGAGGGGGCGAAATGCTGGCCCTCTCGGCGTCTCGCGCGCAGCAGCTGCTCTCCCGAGGGGGCCCCGCGGTTGTAAAGTCGGAGGTCCTGTCGACGTCGCCCTCTCAGCTAGGAGCGACACGGTCGGGCACGGCCGCGGCAGCTGCGGCTGCGGCGTCGGCGAAAGCCTCGGCGGCCGGTGCCGGAGGATCGGCGGTGGCGGCCGGCGGCGGCGGCGACGGCGGCACCGACAGCAGCAGCGGCTTCTCGACGAACCACTACGCTTCTGGCGCGGCGTTCCACGGGCGGGCACACGGGGCCGTACGCGACGGCGGAGGACGCGGCAGCGGGGGGAGAGGCGGCCGGGGCCGGACCTTCGTCGCCGGTGTCGGTCCAAACACGACCGCATGGGTCGTCGGCGGCGGCGATTGCGGCGGCGGCGGCGGCAGCGGGAGGCTTCCACGTCGGAGGGCACGGGGGCACGGGAGGAGGAGGGGGCCACGCGGCGGCAGGGGGGGTGACCCCTACCCCCCACGCGCCGAGGGGCAGGCCGGTGGTGTCGGGGATGGGGATCATGGTGGGCGGCGGGCCTAGGGTGGGCATGGGCGCCGGCGGCGCCGGCGCGGACGGGGAGAAGAAGTTCGTCGGTGCGTACTCTCCGGAGGCGAGGCGGCAGCGGATAGAACGGTTCCTCGACAAGAGGGAGAAGAGGGTGAGCGAGTGTGCATGAGGCGGTCGAGCGCGTGTTCATTGGACGGGATCGGATGCGCGCTAGTGTGGCTGTTTTGGTCGCCCGGACTGTGTGCGTGCGTGTGTGTGTGTTTTTTTTTTTTTGCTTGACTTCATAGCAGCGCTCACAGCATTTCCACCGTTTATTCCAACCCATGGGCCACACAGAAGGGTTCCTCTCCCTGAGTCCTGTGCTCACTCCTCCTGCGGTGCTTTTGCCTTCGATTTTTTATGCGAGAAGAGTTCAACACTATCTTCCTTCTGTGTACACACGGACTACGCTTTCTACCCAGGCCAGGAACGGAAGCGAGATAAACCCTTACGTTGAAAGAAAAGCTCGCTTGCGCCGGGATTCGAATCCCTGCCCCTGCCTCCTAAAAGGTTTTCGGGGATGCCATGTAGGATATCGGGGTGACCGATGTGATGTACGGCACGATTGTAGTTACGATCATTTGTTGTGAGGGAAGACCAGTATTGTGTGTTGGTTGGACAAGGACCGGTGGGTTTGTAGGCATCCCCGGAGCTGATGACTTGCCCGGTCTCAGCTCGCTCTAAGGTACCAATATTCGCATGACTAGATAACGCCGTTGGTCGAAGCCGGTGCCGCACTGAACAGGAACACATAGCGGTGCGTTTTCCTCTAATGGTGTTCGATCGTCTCTGTATTTTCCCGTGAGTGATGAAAAGCAACGAATTTATGCTCAATTTTCGTCTCTGGCTAGTACGAGTTCCATATTCCCGGAAAAATACACAAAAAGGATACTTTATCTCACCCAAATATTCGATGAAAATTTTCATGGGGCATTGTACGTTTTTTTTTTTACAAACGAAAGTTTCGTTGACTGATCGATAATAATGCTACAGGACGAACCGGTTTTGAATCGACGAAACTAACCATTCTTGTCCTTGGCTTCTGCGCTGCGTTTTCCTTGTCATGCTTGCGTGAAACTCCTTCGCTACGGCGAATGTATCGGCGCCGCGGCTCTCTCTTCTTCGTGGGGGCGGCGGTTGTTACGCGAAAACGCAAAAAAAAAAAAACAGGTGTGGACGAAGATGGTCAAGTACGACGTCCGCAAGAACTTTGCTGACACGCGCATGCGTGTCAAGGGGCGTTTCGTGAAGAAGGAGGACGAGGCGCTTCTGCGCGAGGTTATGGCGTGCGCCTGAACTTGGCCTAGCTTCTTCGCCCAAGGGCAACAGAGGCAGGGGTGGCGGCAGGTTGCGAACGCAGGCCGGGCCCTCGTCTCCTGCTGGTGTCGGTACAAAAACGGTTCGTCTTGTGTGATGTGAATGTTACGAACATACCCCGGCGGATCGAGAGCCACAAGACTACGTTTGCGTTTGTAAGGTTATCGGCTGGCGCAAGGGCTACCCGCTTGGCTCTCGAGCCAGCCAAATCTGTGTCTTTCCCCCCCATACATGATAATACAAAGCTGCTTGTGCTAAATAGAGCCCAACATGCTTCCACATTAAAGTAACGACCGGGGGGGGAGGGAGGAGAAGGAGGAAGATGAACGTTGTCGTGCGTGAGCTCACGTTTGTTGGAGTTTTTTTTCGCGATGTGATTCTCTGGGTGAAGTCGGATGCGGATTTGCCGCCCGGGCTTCTGCTCGAGGTGGTTTGCAGTCTTTGTTTTGGTTGATGTCGTGTGTTTTGGCCTCTTTTTGTGTCTACTTGTAGCAGAAAGCGTGACGGATGTTGAAGTTTCGGCTGTTGTGAAAAACGAAATATCGGAAGCGGAGGAACCTTCGCGTTGCCCTTGGTTCGTGCGAATGTTGCTGCTGCCTCATTTGAACGGACGGGTGGTGAGTGTATGTCCCATGATAGGGACGAAGAGGGGAAGACAAGCCGAACAGGGCAGAGCTTTGAACAGGAAGCGTGTCCGCGCGGGTTGGGGAGGTACTTGTTTGGTGTGCGGGATGATCTTCCGGTTTACGCCGTGTGGCGGTTGTGTGTCCCCGCCTTCCCGCCGCCATCGTTAGCGTTGCCAAGTGCGTTGCTGCGTGGCGCGGCGAGGTAAAAAGGTAGAGGCAAGGCAATCGCTACTCATTTCGGTGTATTATCATGGTTGTAGAGCACACAAACCCGCATTCTACTCTTCTTGGTCTTTAGTGTTGTTCTTTTGATGGAATCTTGTTTAGTTCTCTACGCGCCGTTCCCTGTATCTCTTGTATGCGCGCAGAAATTCGACGCCGAACGTTTTAATCGCGCCGCCTGCGGCGCGTTGATGTTTGGTACATGTACCATCTTTTTTTTTTGTCCATGCATGGGTCTCTCTCGCCGCCTCTTTCCAACTTGCCTTTGGATGAACATATGTACCATAGATAAAGGGTCACCGGTGCTTCACTCCTGTTGCTCGAGACTCTTGTTTTCGAAGGGCATAGATGAAGAGGTCGGACGTAGCGTAGCCGACATGTCACAATGTTCCGTGCGTGTGTTTTTTTGTCGTGTTGTTGGGTGCCAGTTCGTGACTTGGAGTATGCACCGCGCGGCGGGGAGAATGGGAAAGGGAGGGGGGGGGTAACAGTAGCGCGAGGGACTTGTTGTACGTACGAACGCTTTGCGGCCCGCTTTCGTTTCCCCCCAGAAATAGAGAGCCATTTTACTTTTTTGGTTTCGCGACGCTGTTTCATGTCGAGCCAAGGCGGTGTAGTATTTTCTTTTTCGTTTTGCTTGGTTGCACTTCCGTTGAAGTGCCGTTTTTTTTTTGCCGTTGTAGCGCTCTTGTTATCGCGTCACATATGGTGATCGTCCCACACAATCAAGACTCGCGCCTGTTAACTATACAGAGCTAGTGAGAGAAGGCATTAGTGATGCGGGGTGGACTAAGTAGGTGGAAGTGACAGTGACCAGGGATACATATCAAAGCGTTTTTTTTTTTTTGCTGTTTGTTTGGTCCATCCTTGGCAAGTCGCGTGGGCGCCAGTGTATAATTTTGGTGTTGTCTGCCGGTAAAGTAGGAATAGTGTGATGCCCCGTTTTGATCGTCGAACGACCCAAATATTTGTGTTTTCGTGTATGATATTCAATCACGAGAGATTTTTCTTTTTCCTTAGTCGCCCTTGGATTTGGGGCTCGGAGACGGGAATGAAAAAGGCTTGTAGCCTACATGTTTCCCCCTTTTTTAGGTTCAGCACCCGTCGCCCGGGCATGAAAGCTGTCCTACTCACGTAGTACTTGGCATTCCCGGACCCTTTAACAACAGTGGGTGCCGATTGCGCGTGCCATGCGTGGGATAAACGCGTCGTGTTGTCGCTCCTCGGTATATGAATCTTGCTCGGCAAGAAGACGCCGGCAAAAAATCAAGAGCGTGCTCGAAATACTCGTTCGCGCGGCCTTCGCGAAGATTGCAACATTGGAGTAGTGCCGTGGGGGTCCCGGTCTAGCGGTTCATTGTTGCGGGAAGAATGTAACCATTTCCAGGGCGGACAGCTACTACTGTAGTCTCGAGCCTCGCTAAATCGGGAGAAAGGCACCGAGCTTGCGCCGCAAAGAAAACTCGTTTTGGCAGGGTCGTGCGCGTGAAATTTTGCCGTCCCGGGTCATACGAATGAATGTACTTGTAGACGAAGAACTACTACCCTAACGTAGACAACAAAGGGAGTAGTCTAGTTGGTCACATTTCACGATACGACAGAAACATCTTCATTCATTTAGAGCGCCTCAGCAGTGCCGTTCATGTGCACGAGTGTGTCGTGTGCGTTTTCGTTGTTTACCCTGGTGCTGAACATGTGGCCTATCATCACCACATCGTCGACGAAGTACTGGACCCACGAGAACTTGAACTATATTGGGTCGTTCACGATGGCGAAAGCACACCGGCTTGAACAGGATGTTCCATGATTCAGGTTGAGGACCTTCTCAACGGTCTTTGAATAGGCCTCGAACCTTTCGCGAACCCGCCGCGGCGCCTGAAGAATTCAGGCGTCAAATCGTACAAGTGGGGCGGGCACGATCGTTTCTCACGGGTCCGAGGTTGTACGCCTTTCGATCTACACAATTGTACCATGGTTCTACCATCCTTTTGGGGAGTCACCAGCATACGAGACTCCTTCCGCATAATGGTTGAAGACGCACGTACCTCGATCTCGTAGCAACCTTTGGCAGTGACTGGGCCTATTTTCTTCTCGGTGTGAAATGCCAAGAATAAATCTGCCATGGGCTTGCAGTGCGCCGCAACATGAAGCCTGAACCCGGGGTTGATGCATCCCCGTCCACCCGTCGTTTTCACTGCTGTGAGGAGGTCATGCCGTGTGCCCTGAATATGATGGGCACCGCCAGAAGGTGTTTTGGAGCCCCGCGAGCACTACAGAAATCAGGCAGCGTGCAGATTCTCTGGGGAGCAACGCAATTTCAATCTTCTGGTGGAAACGTGATTATTGAAACACCACATTTTGACATTGGTACATGTTCATGAGCAATGTGATTCCAGATGATCACTGCCCAGAGGTCGACAGGTTATGGAGTCAACTTGTCCCTACAATCCCAGAACCTTTTCGTAAGATACCCTGGAGCGTATGAGGACAACAACCTTCTGTGTACCGCCTCCATTTGATGTGACCGTAAAGAGTGAGACATATACGCTGGTGCGACCTCCACGGGGAAAAGTGACAGCAAAGGTGGGTCTGGAACCCTAGAAACTCCCTACTAAGAAGGTACGCGGTGTACATTCTCGAAAAAAAACATCGCGCCTTAGAGGAATATTTTCTGGTGCCCACACTTTCCTTTTTTCCTTGAAAGGTGTACCCCGGCAGTTGGACCAGTACGGACATTAGAAGGTACTGAGCGGAGACCGAGACGGTTTTCAATGTGAAGACAACAACAACAACAACAACAACAACAACTCGCGCGTGCTCTATGCACCGGCGGCCAGTGCAGCCCTTCCACAACCGTTGCATTCGAAACTGGCTGGTTCTCGCTCATGACCGGCATGAGCAACATCAGCGTGGAAAACCAATCAGCCTGTAGAAACAACAAGCACACCCGACGAGAACGAATGTCAGTTCCTAGCCCACTCGTAACATACCGCGTGCATACTTCAACATGCAGCGCAATCCGATGTATGAACGACAAGACGAAGCTTGAGAACGCACTCAGACAGAAACCTACATGCAGGTCTTGGAGCTCGGCCGCTTTCCAATCAAGGTACGTCCGTTCTTTGCAAGCTTGGGCCACCTGTTCGTGCTCCGAGCAGCAGAACTGTGGCGTTCCCCAGCGCGAACAACCCCGTAACCGACATTTCCTCCTGGTTTGCCTAGGTGGGAAGTAATTGATGGCAATACGCTTCGTTCAGTAGCAGGACAAGCTCAGAAGAGTCTACAGCCGTAGGATTAGACGCACGACACGCACATTGCATACGCTAGGGTGTTGCCCCCGGATTCGATACTGCGCAGACCAACGCAGTTCTAACGTGGGGTCCCAGTAGTGGTGTTCTGGACGAGATTGGTTGTAGTTGGCCCAATCTCCCACACTACTGACAGGTTTGCTAAACCGTCCATGGGAAACACATGGGTCACCCATGGGTCACCCATGGGCTCTTCATGGGTTCTTCATGGGCGGCCCGTGAAGTGCCCACCGTGGGCACTTCAACCTAGAACTTCGCCACCGGCATATCAACCTAGAACTTAGCCACCAGCGCCAACCTAGCACGTACCGTGTGGGCTTGGGGTTAGGGTTAGGGTTAGCGTTAGGGTTATTTGCCGTTATAGTACCCGTTTCAAAGCAGATAATCTATTGTTTAGGAGTAAACTGGTTCAGTTAAAGGGCTCTCATTAGCCGCCCATGGGTTTCCATGGTTCCCCATGAGCCGCCCATGGGCTGCCCACAGGCTACCCATGGGCAAGCCCACGGGCGGGCGGCCCATATGGGCTGCCCATGGGTCACCCATGGATCACCCATGGGATGTTGTTGTTGTTGTTGTTGTTGTTGTTGTTGTTGTTGTTGTTGTTGTTGTTGTCTTCACATTAAAAACCGTTCCGATCTCTCTCTACCCAGTTCCTTCGTATGTCCGTACTGATCCAACACTCGACGCGGTCGATTCCCGTGGTCACAGGTTAACTTACCCTAAAAAGGTACACTCAAATAAACTGGCCCCGAGGGGTCCGCAAGTCAATAGAAATCAACGACAGATATTCTGGAATCCTCCACTCCCTCTTCGCGCTACGCGAGGTATCAACTGAGACTAGCAGTCACGATCTATCATGGGCCGGAGAGAAAGAGGTACACCCCCTTGGTTCAATCTTGGTACTTCACAACGCAAGCAGAGACAAGGCCATCTGGCACAGAAAAATGGCCATGGGCCTAAAGGGGTGCCCATGGGCGGTCCATGGGTGACCGTTTGGGAAAACTGTAGAAAGTGTGGGAGACCCGTTGGCCCGACCTTCTATCAGCTGCGCCCTGCGGATCGTCTAGAATCTATCTGTCCGATACAGCAGTTCCTCGTCAAGGACGAACAAGGAAGTGGCCAACGGAGAGCGGGAATCACCAAGCAACACGCGTAGCACCTAACCAAATGGTGAGTTGGAACGATGTGATGGATGGAGGCACAAACTGCAGGGTTCTGCTGCAAAGTTTGGCGGCGCCTAGGTGCAAGTAGAGCCATCATCTTGTCGTTTCAGATGCCTGAATGAATAATGGCTGCTACGATAACGTTAATACTTGTGGAAGACTGGAGCCGCGCCTCGGACGTAGCCGCGCTCGACTTTTGTTCCACAAGGTGCCATTCTGAGGCAGGCACCAACAACTCTCGTATTCGAATGAAGCCCTTCGAAAATATCAACTTCAACTTCAACAGCAACAGCTACGGTGCTACATGGTATTAACGGATATGAACGGATTCCAAGATGAACAATAGCCATATCGTAGACTCTTGGAACGCAACAACCAGCGTTCGTGTGTATCTTTCCCCGTAATATGGTTCCACCCCGGGTTAGTTCATGGCATGCGGCGGTATTTCACAACGAACGCAAGTGTTTTTTTCGTTGGTTGTGATAATCAGGGAGTTGCGCATGACAAAGTCATTTTCGGCTGTTGCTCCCAGTATTGATAGAAGCGTTATCGACAAACTCTCAAGCTGAAGCCGTAAACAGGTACTGGTGCTACATAGTGTAGCCTCGATAGGTTCCAATTGTAGACCATTTATTGGGTCGGCGATGACCGCGACCCTCCCTA